AGGTATTGATAAAAAGATTAAAAAGTGTTGAGAACAAAATTAAAGATGTTAAGAATAAGATTAAAAAGCGTTTAGAATAAGATTAAATGTGTTGTGAAAAAAGAATAAAAGGTGTTGAGAACAAGATAAAAGGTGTTGAAAAAAGATTAAAAAGTGTTGAAAACAAGATAAAAGGTATTGATAAAAAAAATTAAAAAGTGTTGAAAGGTAGTGGGGTAAAAATTAAAAGGTATTGAGGTAAAGATTAAAAGTATTGAGATAAAAATTAAAAGGTATTGAGGTAATGATTAAAATGTGTTGAGTTAGAGATTAAAGGTGTTGAAAATAAGATTAAATGGTGTTGAGAATAAGATTAAAAAATATTGAAAACAAGATTAAAGGAGTTGAAAATAAGATTAAAAGGTGTTGAGAATAAGATTAAATGTATTGATAAAAAGATTAAAAACTGTTGAGAACAAGACTAAAGGTGTTGATAATAAGATTAAAAGGTATTGAGAACAACATTAAAAATATTAATACTTTTTTGAATCTTATTCTCAACACCTTTAATCTTGTTCTCAACATTTTTTTATCTTTTTCAATATCTTTAATCTTATTTTCGACACCTTTAATCTGTAACACAACACTTTTTTAATCTTTATTTCTTAACACCTTTAATCATATTTTCAACACCTTTTAATCTTGTTATCAACACCTTTATTCTTATTTTCAACACTTTTTAATTTTGTTTTCAACACCATTTAATCTTGTTTCCAACACCTTTAATCTCTGACTCAACACTTTTTTATTTTTTTTTTCTTCAATATTTTTAATCTTATTATAAACCTCTTTAATCTTGTTCTTTAACACATTTTAATCTTTTTTCTCAATACCTTTTAATTTTGTTTTTATCATCTTTAATCTCTAACTTAACACCTTTTAATCACTACCTCAATACCTTTTTATCTTTATCTCAACATTTTTAATCTTTACCTCAATACATTTAATCTTGTTCTCAACACCATTTAATCTTATTCTTAACATTATTTAATCTTACTATTAACACTTTTAATTTTTTTTTTTATCCCTTTAACATTTTTTTTTTTCAATACCTTTTAATCTTATTCTTAACACCTTTAATCTTATTCTCAACATTTTTTAATCTTATTCTCAATACTTTAAATCTTTTTATAAACACATTTTAATCTTGTTCTCAACACCTTTAATCTTATTCTCAACACTTTTAATCATATTCTCAATACTTTTTAATCTTTTTATCAACACTTTTTGATCTTATTCTCAACACATTTAATCTTATTCTCAACACTTTTTAATCTTTTTATCAACAGATTTTAATCTTATTCTCAACATTTTTTAATCTTGTTTTCAACATTTTTTAATCTTATTCTTAACACATTTTAATCTTATTCTTAACACCTTTAATCTTGTTCTCAACACTTTTTAATCTTTTTATCAACACTTTTAATCTTGTTTTCAACACTTTTTAATCTTGTTCTCAACACTTTTTAATCTTTTTAACAACACCTTTAATCTTGTTTTGTTCTCAACACCTTTTAATCTTATTCCCAACACATTTAATCTTGTTCTCAACACTTTTAATCTTGTTCTCAACACCTTTAATCTTGTTCTCAACATTTTTAATCTTATTTTCAATACTTTTTAATTTTTTTATCAACATCTTTTAATCTTATTCTCAACACATTTAATCTTATTCTCAACACTTTTTAATATTTTTATCAATACATTTTAATCTTATTCTCAACACCTTTAATCTTATTTTCAACACCTTTAATTTTATTCTCAATACTTTTTAATCTTTTATTGGTAACTTTATAGTCTAACTCTCGCTATAGGATGCAGTGTTTTTCCTGCTACCATCATAGCTTACAAATTTTTTGGGATGTGTTTAGATTACAAATATGTTGCTCAATTGTATTGGAATCTTTTATGGAGGATGGGCTTGTTGGTTGCCTTATGCTTGAAAATGATTTTATATGCTACATTAAACATGTCAAATGCAATATTTTTTAGAATCATAATTAGCTTGTTTCTGATGTCTCAGTTCATTGCATGGATTTAGTATGCAATTGCCAGAGACTCACTCAGATGCTAAAAGATGCATGGGCTTTTACCTTTTCATTGTTTGAAGTAGATCGTGACGAGATGATATTTTATTTTATTTTTTTTCTTTTTCTTTTTTTTCTTTCTATTTTTTATTTTTTATTTTTTTTTTGTTTTAACATCATTCCTTTTTCTGTCAGACGCTAAAATTACCAATTTAAAAAAAAAAAAATCTTTAAATTCTTTTTTTCACTACAATATAGATACAACAGAGGATCCAAGTCAGTGCTGTTTTATGTCTGAAAACATATTTTTCTTACAAATTACAGCTTTGTAGGAGCGGCATTGGTAGTTGAATACACGCCATGCTTGATTCTAGCAACTTCCATAGTTGGTTCTTGGACGTTTTACATATGGGTTGATGTATTTTAGGCCTCTCCGTAATAGATCTTCTAGAATTTCTCCATAAATGCATTGTTTGGAGTGAACTAAAAGGTTCGTATAAGAATAATCTAAAACTGACACGTTGCTTTACTATAATTGATATGGTCAATGTTGACTCTAATCTGCCTTGCTTGGAACCTTTGTGATTTGCCATGTGGAAACTTTTCTTGGTATATGTTGTATCACAGGATTGATTACTTTGTGATTTGCCATGTGGAAACTTTTCTTGGTATATGTTGTATCACAGGATTGATTGATTAAAATAAATTAAACATCCACAATTATAAAAAATAAATACCAATAAAGCTAAGTAAGTTAGAAAGATGTCATCGAATTTGGTAAAATAGACCAATTATTGTAAGAAAAACATTTACGTCACATTCTCGAACCAAAGCAAAACGATCCACTATGTATGAAACAAAGTACAATGGATTTTGACTCATTCTCATACCATATCGTTTTACCAAAAATCAATTGCTGATAATTTATATCTTTGCGACGTCCCGTCCAACAGCTCTTGACTTCAGGTTTACTCTTGATCCCTATAGAAGAATTGCTGGTAGATCAATTAACACTCATCGAATGCTTTGACCCTTTCAAAGTGTTATCGTTTCACTAATTTTTATCAAGATCTGACCTTTGTTGTAGAAGAAATAGATCTACTTTTCAGAATCTTTGAATGTTCAATTATGTTACAATTTCAATGAGATAGAGAATAACACAACTAAATCACTCTTGTGTTTATGTGTATGCTCTCAAAAATAAAATCAGAAAAAATAAATTTGATTTTCTAAAAAAAATCTCTCAAAAGACTTTTTAAAAATAAAGAATTTTTGTTTCTTAAAGCCAAACCTCAATGTTGAATGAAAGAGGCATTATATAAAAGTTTGGAAGACCTAAGAATACTTGTAAAACAAGTGAAATAAGTGAAATTCATGCATAAATATTTTGGAAGGAAGTCTGGAATAAAAAGGAATCAAAACAGATCGGGAACTAAAGTTACCTAAACAATTCAGCAATCTTGAACTGGTATAGAAATTGGGTACCGGTTCAAGATGGCCAGAGAAGATTCCTTCAGAAATTGACTACCGGTTTCCAATGGACAAAATAAAAAAATTACAATTCTTCAAAAGTTGAACATGTTCCTTGATTCTTCTACCAGTTCAAGTTGAACCTGTTCAAGTACTTCTACCCGTTCAACATGGGCATAATGTAAACTTCTGAAAAATTTCAAACTTCCAAAACTTCCTAAGTGTTATCACATGCTGACGTACCTTTCTAAAGAATTGTTTTCATCATTTAGAAGTGTATTAAAATATGAACATTTGAATTTTTGCAAATTCATATCTAATCTTCAATCTTGAAATTCTGAACCGAAATTTTACAACTCAATCAGACTTTTTTTGACAAGAAAATTAACCAATTATAATATATATATATAACTCTTAATTTTTTCAATAGATCTTAGTTCTAGGCAATTTATTCCATGTTGCGTTTACGAGGGCTCTAATTGCTTAGATTTTCTATGGTTAGTCCTATTGGAACTTGACACCTTTTTTATTGGAGGGCGAAAGCTAGAATTTGGTATGTAAACAAAGAGGAAAAAATTAAGGGTTTTTTTTGTTGGCATCGTAGTAGGTTTAAATTGTGGGTTTAGAGTGTAGTATTGCCCATTTGGTTAACCCTCGGCATAAGGTACCGGTGGCCTTGAGTAACCAACCACCTCACATTCGTGGCATGGGTAGAGTTCAGATTGTATTAATGACAAGACTCGCGTGAGAAAATATGAGATCAGAACGTGAAATTAATTTTCCATTCTTCCTATTTCAAACCATTAATATTATATTTTTTTGTTAAGTTAAATGTTGTAGAGGTCACTTTTTCCCCTACTAAATCGTCCTGAAACCCACTCCTATGAAAACCAGATTCACAATGCGTTAATTTCTTAGATTGCGCGTGAATATTGATCAGTTTGCAAAGACAGTGACGCATTAATTTCTTTCTCTGATCCATTGTTTCGACTCTCATTCATTTATTCTCTATCATTATATAAAAAAGAAGCACCAAACACTAAACGCTGGCCCTTGGCAAGATGAGGGCCACAAGAACCTTTGACAGTCTCATTTTTGCTTTTCGCATTGCCTTAAAGTCAGATTAGGAATGAGTTTACAGCCCTAGTGGCACAGTAGCAACATGAATATTTGTTTTGCCTAATAGGACTTGATCTCAGTACCAGATCCAGGCTGCAAATCGGACCGAGAATGGTTGTGTCACCCCGCAAGCTAGGAAACTTGCACAGCAGCCCTCGGCACACTTCTAGACCAAACAGTCAGTAAATAGAAATTTTCAAATTCTATGCTCGACCTAGATTCAAGAATTAATCCAATCAAGTGATCAACAATATATAATGCTAATTAAATAAATTACTTTGCAAAGTTAACTGAATCAAAACAGGTAATCACTCGTGTTTGTGCTAACTCTGTTTTGTCGTCGTGTTTGTGCTAATTGTTTCTTTGGGGGAGGGTGTTGGTTATTTTGGTTTTTATTTTTTTATTTTTTATTTGTCCAAGCTAGTCTTGAAGTGAAGTTGTGTAATTTTGAAAAAAACTAACCATTTACTTCTTGTAAATGAGAGTACAAACTTGAAAAATGGGGTGCAGATAAATTTGCTTATCATTTAAATAACTACTTGCAGCCCCCAGCAGCAAACCCAATTCTTGAATTGTAGACATCATAAGCCACCCTATATGTTTGCTGCTGATGGTTTCCAATAGTGGAGAAATCATCTGTGGCCGAGTTTCCTACGAAGGCCAAGCACGTAATGTTTTTCTCAGCCACATCATACAGAATGTTTTGGGGCGCAAGAGTGAGGTTGGCCTCTCCTTGAAACACAATCCAAACCTCAGGCACATCCGACATCTCCTTCAAACTCCCTTTATAACATGTGTCAAGAATGTCAAAAGCCGGGGCAATCTCGTGGTTTGAGGACATGATCTTTGTGAACTCCTTGCTGAGAACTGAATATACTGACGTAGGCAGGTAAGTGAGCACCGAACCAGAATCTATGATTGTTGGAATCTTGTACTCGGCCTCCGACACTGCCAGTGTCTTACCTGCCACTGCAATCGCGGATAAACTCAAGAAGTACAAGCCGGTCTCTTGTTCATCAGGAAGCATTGGAGTGAACTTGTAGGACGATCCCATCAATGAATCCCTTCCTATGGACAATGAGCCACCACTGCCTCCGCTCCGTGTTGGGAGGCAGTAGGAGAAGGCATTTCCATATGTGGTTGACAGCTGAGAGAACATGGAAAGCCTTTTACGATCAAGGCCAAAAAGACCAGCTGATTCACCGAACGACCCTATATTTTCCTGCCCACACCCGTACACAAAATCAGGTAGTGTTCCTGATTGGTCTAGGGTCAGTGTATCCCGACACAAGTAGCCTTTAGAGTAAGATTGGTCCCCATAGCTAGTCTGGTATACACACTCGTTATAATTATTGCAAATAGGGTCATTCGAAGTGGCTTCTTTGAGTGAATTGCACTCGGATGTTCTGCATGATAACTCTTGGAAGGTGCTCGATGCATAGGGATTGAAAATCGGAACGGCCTGTTTGTAGCAGGATCCTTGGCAAGGCAAGCATTGCAGCCAGGAGAATGAGCTGCCTGTGTCGACAATCACGGGATAGTAACTGGGTGGAGTGCCAAGGCCAATCTTGACATAGTAATTGTTCGAACCAATAGGCAGACCAGGTTTCAAGGGTGTGTTGACGGACTTTTGTCCGAAAAGATGTTCTGATTTGTGTGAGGTGGAGTTTGTGACACTGCTAATTGTTCTATTCTTAGTGATCAGTCTGGAGTACAGATGCTTAACTCGTGCTTGGTCGTGAGAAAGTAACTCAGCGGAAGATGGTGCCGACTGGGAGGTCAGAGATGAGCCATGATACAAGGTCAAGTGCAAAGCTGAATGGTTGAGTCCCTGCTCCGCTTCTGCCCAAAAAAGGAGAAATAGAAATAATTTAATTAATTCATATCCCTTTTCAACTATGAATATTATGCACAACATATATATATTACTTATCTGGTCATTCCCAATCAATACATCTTATATGTGAATAAATAAAATGTCATATTATATGGAAATGTTACATTAAATTACCTGCAAATGAAGATGTTGTTGCAAGCAGAAAAAAAGAAATGAGGAACAAAACCAACTCCATTTCGCCTACACCTTTTAAAATACTATGTTGATTTTATGTATACACTCTCTCTTTCACACACACACAGACACATGAACATATATATATATATATATATATACACACACACACACACACAAAGAAATGCAGAAGTTCTATTAACAATTTTTGGACGACTTTGGGTCTTCACATAAGTCCCATATATGAACAATTTTCTCTGGGACGACTTTGAGTCATCACATAACTCCACGAGTTCCCAAATCAGAGATAGATACTTGGATTGTGTAACCAATAATGCATCTTATTAATGATAAAATCACAATATATTCAACCTCAAAAGGCATTATATATCCATCAGCATACCCCTTTATTTTCTTTTCCTTTTTTCTCTCTTGAAAATAATGGATATTTTTTCTGAGTTTTGTTATTGAAATTAATAAGTATTTTTCTCTCTTATAAATAATGAATTCTTTTATAAGTTCTATTATTGAAATTAATAAGTATGTGTGCATGCACTGTTGCTCCATGTGCAATAGACTACTTATTAGTCATAGTGTATGGGGCCTCATCTTTTTTCTTTTTAAAGTGGTGCTTACGACTTTTCGTGAGCTTTCGAGGAATAGTTCACTTTAATCTTGAAATGAGAACATGATATTCTAGTATCGAGACTTTTCAGAACAGTACTTAGACTATTCTAGTATATTTCCAATTTTCCACACTCGGTTATATGGCGAAATTAGCGTTTTATTCTTTCTAAACGCACAAAACTTCACTATTCCGCAAATAGTGGAATCCCGTTCGATAAGATAAGGAAAATTGCAACCAAATCACGGCATCACCGTGCTAGACAGGGAATGTACAAATGCTCCTATAGTTCCAAAAAAAAATCATATTTTTTCAAACTAAGCAAATTAAAAAAAACCCCAAAATGCTAACAATAAGTGCATTTTCTAAAAATTTTATAACCCAATTTTTTTTTTTATTGTTTATTTATTTTACTTATTTATTTATTTATTTATTTATTTGGGTAAATTTTATTTACTTATTTATTTATTTTTATATTTATTATTATTTTATTTATTAAATAAATACCTAACATTACCGTAAAGGTATCTTGGAATTTTCATAAAAAAAATTTGATCAAAATTGACCACAAGGGGCAATTTGCTACAAGTTTTTAAAATAAAGAGATTTATAATTTTATATGCACTCTATCAAAAGTGATGGTATTCTTTTTGGGGGTGGTTTGCACTTTACCCATTTATAAACGTAGACATATATAAAAATCAATATATATTCAAAGATAAATTTAAATAATAATTGCTTATGTTATATATATTGTTATTAACAATTTTTTATATATAAAAATTATGATTAACAAACAAAATAAGAGTTGAGAGTTATATTGTATGAATAATTTATGGACTAAATTATGATATGTATCTCAATACTTTTTAAAAATTAATTTAAAACTTTTTTTAGCAATTATATTATGATGTTATTGTTGAAAAAGTTATATTTTAATGTTCAAAACTTGTTAAATACGTATTTTAAAGTATTGAGAAGGATCATCGAATATGTGTTATATATATATATATATATATATATATATATATATATATATATAGGGTGAATTGCAAAAAATCCCCCTCGACTATTACCCAGTTACGAAAAACTCTCTTTATGAATATTTTTGGTAAAAAATCCCCCTTGACTATCCCAAGGGGTGTTTTTAACTAATGTCTATTTTTTGAAGCAAATTTTTGGATGAAATTAACCCTTAACAGATTATTCACCGGAAAATGTTTATAAATAAATAAGAAAATTGTTTAATTTTTGTAAAAATAAATAAGGAATAAGAAAATGTTTAATTTTTATGTCATTTTCTTGATCTTCTTTCACCTTTGAAGTTTTAAATTTATTTTATTCTAAATTTGTTTTTCATTTCTTTATTTATTTGTATTTTCTCTCACTATAATGACGAATCAAAGAGAGGCAAAAGAATTTTAAGCAACCACCAAAATTCAAGATTTGAATTGATAAGCTATATAGCAAAAGCAATATTCAAGCTCAAGAGAAAGTTACTAATGTCCTCGCTGCATATATATTGACATAAGTAACTACCAAAATTAAAGTATCAACATAAGATCCATAACAGTTACAATCACCAAAAGATGCATGCACCCCATTTGAATATACATGATCATTTGAATATTGAATTTGGAAGATGCCATATATGTCACACTCTCTGCAACATCCATTTACTTTCATTGGATCCATAAAGATTTGAATTGATAAGCCTCTTTGAATATGATAATAATAAATTGTCTAAAGAATAATCTGTTAAGGGGTAATTTTGTCAGAAAAATTACTTCAGAAAATAACTTAAACGCACATCAGTTAAAAACACCTCATTGGATTAGTCGTGGGAGATTTTTTTGCCAAAAATATTCATAATTGTGATTTTTTGCAACTGGGTAATAGTCAAGCGGGTTTTTTGCAATTCGCCCTTAAAAATATGGATACGTTTAAGTAATAGATACTCATGTATTCATGAGTATCTAAAAAATATTTGTATCCGACATAGATATGATACAAGTACGTCCCCTTAAGGTATAGAGCCAATAATTTATTTCAAGGGGACAATGAGCATGATAAAAACAAACAAAAAAATAATAATAAAATTCCAACCAACGGTGGATCGAGAAAAACAGTAAGCCAAAAAATAGAACTAAAATATACTCCATATAGTAAAAAGTGTTGAGGATATTTTAGTAAAAATATTATTTAGTGTGGTTTATTATACATTATTACCTATATTATTAGTGTGTTAATTATATCATTATGTGACCAATAGACATTACAACTTAATTATGATATGTATGGTCATATATCATTCGTTGGTGGTGAGAGAAGAAATATTTATTTTTTCATTTTTAACCCGTCTTCCTTCAAACGTGCTTGGAGGGACACCGTTTGCTAGCTTTTGGGTTCTCTCTTAGAGCCGATACTATCGCCAATGCTAGTAGGGAAGAAGTATCGAATTTAGGACATTGCCTAACATGCACCTCTCTATTTTTATACATATTTGTATTATCATATTATTTATTGTGTTCAAATTAAATTTATTTGTATCGTTATTAATTTTATGCTTTCATTCCATAATATTATAAAGTGATCAATACTCATTCTACTTGATGATTGTAATTTTGTTAGTGTTATGTAACAGCCCTCACCCTACTCATACATAATATTGTCTGTTTTTTACTTCCCCGGACTAGCATGTGGGGAGAAAGTATCTACTTTAGGATAGTGGCTAGCATGCACCTCTTTACTTTTATTTAACCTAATATACTTTTATACATATTTGTATTATCATATTATTTAGGGTAAAATGCATTAAACCCCCTTAAACTATACCCCAATGAGCAAAAAATCCCCTTGAATTTCAAAATGAGTAAAAAAAACCCTTAAACTATTCAGTTTGTTGCACTTTACCCATTCTAGCAATCGGCCGATCAATTTCCTTTCATGTGAGAGGCCAAATTTATGTAAATGACCATACAACCTATATCCAATTTAAAAGTCTATAATGCCCATGAAACACCATTGGACCAAACAAGCCCTAACTAATTCACTCATGATCGCATCCCCTCTTTCCAAAAAAAGAAATAAATAAATAAAAAAAAAATCAAAACCCATTTACAGAACAAGAAGGTGAGATCATCCTTGCCTGCCTCTCCTCTCTACCGCCACATTTCTTCCTCACTGCTGAGCCCTCGCCGGTCCGTCACGGTTACTGCACCACCCACCGTCCATCACAGCCGACATCATCCAAAGCCGAAACTGCCAAGGCCGTTTTCATCTTCTCCACCGTCCAAAGCCCTTTTGCTCGCCGTGAGTTCGGCCGTAGTTCAATCCCGCCAAGCTCACCGCCGCGAGTTATTCACAGCCGAGTCAGCCTCAGCCTTCGGCGATTTACAACGGTGAGATCAGGCAGCCTAGGGGCAACACGATGAACCCCTAAATTATAATGGTAAGGGCAAAGCTTGCACACAACGATCGTAAGTGATTTGGGGTTCGGATTTCTTTCTCTCTGCTCTCCTAATATGAAGCTGACAATTGGGTACAAAACCTTTTACGGTTTAATCGTTGTTCTGAAACCCATCGGTTGGATGAAGCCGTCGTTGTTGGGTAGGTTATGGCAATCTCGGATCGTTTAATTTACCCCTTCAACTACTCGGATCATTTCAGTTCTGAAGTCGGAGGGTCGGTCATGAGCATCAAATGTGCTGTATATAAGCACCGTTCCCTCTCTGCGCTCTTGTACTAATCGAATCTCTGGCTGGTGATAAGAGGGGAAAGGCAGTGAATTGTAAATGTGCGTGTGGGAGAGGGAGATATTTGACTTGTGAGATGGTGTTAGGTTGTTGCAAGTGGCGGTCATGTACTCATGGAGATTTGTATGTGTTCTTGCTTGATTGGGTTGAATTGCAGATCGACACTAAAAAATTGTAGGTGATGGTCATCGAATTTTTGTCCCAATTGTGATTTTGGGTCTCAAAGTGTAGGTGATGTTAGAGTTGATCTTTAATTCAGCGTAGTGGTGGAGAGTAAACTAGCGTCTTCATTAGATTGATGTATGAAGAAGAAAAATGAGTTATATTTTACCATTGTTACAGACGTTTGGGCATGTTTGGTAGGGATTGGGTCCAATCATCAGTCAAGGGTATTATGGTCTTTTAAATAAATATTTCCTTCCACATGCAGACAGGTGTCCTCTAAGCATTTTATTTTCTTTAATGTGATTTTATGAAGGGGAAAATTAGACTTTTCCAATTTTCGGTAGCTAGAAATGACCTGAAAAACATTCTCTGTCCTAGGACTACACCAAGACCATAGTTGAGGGGGGTTAGTTGCACTGAGGGTATAGTTGAAGGGGATTTATTACACTTTACCCTATTATTTATTGTGTTAAAATTAAATTTATTTGTATCATTATTAATTTTATGCTTTCACTCCATAATATTATAATGTGATGTTCATTCTACTTGATGATTGTAATTTTGATGATTGTAATTTTGTTAGTGTTATGTAACAGCCCTCACCTTACCCATACACAATATTGTCAGCTTTTGGTTCTCCTGGATTAGGGACTTCCCAGAAGGTACTTAACATTGGAGTTTTGATGGGTTTAGTGACATTATGATTTTGAAACGCGTTGTGTCATAGAAGGGTGTTGAATCTTACATAGAACATTTCGCCTTCCCAAACGATATGGAATTATGACACCCTATAACCTGCCAGTGTGGTACCTCGTCCAATGTCTCGCACCCGCTCACATCACACCAGCCCATATAGGTCGTCACATGTTATATGTTGAGATCATATTGTGAATTATGTATTTTTTTAATATATCAATTTATTGAATAAGAAATATTGTATTTATTTCATTGTATATGAATGAATTTTTACAAAATCTCCCAACAAAAATTTCAAAATTATGAAATATGAACATTAAGTTCATAAAATTGCAGTAAAATTTAAAGAATAAGAGGAAAAAAAAATAAGAAGAGAGAAAATAGTTATAGCACATTCCTCGTATATGAATGCGAGGATAAAGAAGAAGAAAAAAAATAAAAAAGGGAAAGAAAAAAATAAATGAAAGAAAAATGAAAGAACTTTGAAGAGAAAAAAATTAGTGTTTGATTGAAGAAAGTGAATGCAAATTTTTTTTTGAAGGAATCAGAGAAACTTGAAAAAGCAACAAAATTAAAAGAGAGAAAAAAAAAAAAAAAAAGAGTGGGAGAGAATTTTATGGGACATTTATAAATTTAAAAAATTACATTTACTAAAGTGTGTGTGTGTGTATGTATATATATATATAATAAATATATTAATTTTTTATTTTTGTGAGATCTACAAGGTTTGATTCCCACAAAATCTATTGCCCTAAATTATATATATATATATATATATATATATATATATATATATATAAATTATTGGAGAACCACATTGAGCTCACTGGGCACTTTAATAATGGAGAATTTTATTCAATAAATAAAATTTCAAAAAACTACATACACAATTTTTATTTTTTTTTTTTTGTATATTGAGGGGCCAAATTGGGCTCGGGAGCACGTGCCCCGGGGCCGTGACTCCGTCCCTGGTAACTCTTTTAAAAAATTCCATGCTTTTTGAAGAAGTGTGTATGTGAAATATATATATATGAATATTTGTTATAATCCGTATGTAGTAAGAGGGCTAATGGTCATTGACTTAAGAGGGCAATAAGTTTCAAGTAGAGAACCGAGAGAAATAAGTAAGCGACCATTAGCCCTCTTACTACATGCGGAGCATAACAAATATATATATACTCCCTATGTAGTAAGAGGGCTATAAGTTTCACGTAGAGAACCGGGAGAAATATGTCTGCGACCATTAGCTTAATTGTTGTTCATAGTTGCCCAACATTATGATATTTTATATTTTAATAGTTGTTCAATAAAATTTCTCTTTCAATCATAAGAATTTCTTTCAATCACAAGGGATACGTGTATCATAAAATATTATACTATGCATATATACTAGGTACTATTAATTAAAAGTATAAATAAAGATGGGAGGGAAGTGGTGAGTCTTGTGACTCTTTGTATAACTTCTCTCAATTATTTTTTCTTTAATTATTTTATTTACTTATTTATTTTTTATACTATGAGAAACTCACACATTTATTTTTTTGTCTTTAAAAAGATTTCTACCTTTGACCTTCTACTTTATCAAAATATATATAGTCTATTTTATGACACAAAAATCGAGCTACCGTGGAGTTTTGTGAATATTTTGTATTAAATGTCACATTTGTTTTGATGTGTTGCTTAATTAGATACTCGTTTATGTTTTTAATTTGGACCGTGATCAAATTATCATAGCCGTTTGATATCATGTGTTTTGACGTGCTGATTGATTAGATACATGATTATGGTTATGGTTGTTGATGAGTCGATTATAACTATGTATCTCGATAGAGTCTCCTTGATTAGATACATGATTATGGTTATTGATGGGATTGATTATAACCAGCTACCTCGTTGGAGTTTTGTGAATATCTCGTCTTAAATGTCATATTTGTTTTGATGCGTTGCTTGATTAGATACTTGATTATGTTTTCAATTTCAATGGTGATAAAATAATCATACCGGTTTGGTTTGATATTATGTGTTTTAATAATACTATATAATTTAATTACCCATAAAAAGAGGCCTATAAAAGGCCTATGGTTAGCGCACACAATATTGAATCCAAAAACACAAATAAGAACAATACAACATCAAAGGATTTTCATCTATCATATGGAAAGGGTTGTTGCAGAGCGTTTTCCTGACGACTCCGTGCCATGAGATGCCATATTATTCATTAATATATGAGATACGTTTCTGATACTAGCTGCAGCCTCCAGCAGCAAACCCAATTCTTGAACCAGAGACATCATAAGCCACACGATACGTCTGCTGCTGAACGTTTCCAATAACGGCGAAGCTGTTTTTTGCTCCGAAGGCCAAGCATGTAATGCCCAAACTCTCAATAAGAATGTTTTGAGGCGCAAGAGTGAGTTCGGCCTCTCCTTGAAACACCATCTGAACCTCGGGCACATCTGATGACATCTCCTTCAAACTACCCATATAACATGCATCAAGAGAATTAAATGTCGGGATAGTCTGGTGGTGCTTTGAGGACATGATCTTTGTGAACTCATCGCGGAGAGCTGCATATACTGACGGATGCAAATATGTGAGCGTCGTCCCTGAATCTAATATTGTTGGAATGCTGTACTCGGCGTCGGACACTCCCTGCAGCGTCTTGCCTGCCACTACAATCGCAGACAACTTCAAAAAGTAGAAGCCGGACTTTCGGTGAACGCGAAGCATTGGAGTGAACTTGTAGGGTGATCCCATCAATGAATCCCATCCTATGGACAATAAGCCTCCATTGCCTCCGCTCGCTGTTGGGAGGCAGTAGGAGAAGGCATTTCCGTATTTGGGTGACAGCTGAGAGACCATGGATAGCTTGGTATGACCCAAGCCAAAAATACCAGCAGACCGACGGAACGAACCTGTATTGTTCTGTCCACACCCGAACACAAAATCAGCCAGTGTTTCTAATGGGGTTAGGCTCAGTGAATCCTGACTCAAGTACCCACTAGAGGAAGAGTTGTCCCCGTAGATAATCTTGTACATGCACTTATTAGAAGTGCATTCTTCATACTGCCTACCTTCCTTGAGTGAATTGCACTCGGGTGTTGTGCACGATAACCTTTTGTAGGTGCTGGATGCAGAGGGATCGAAAATGGGAACGGCCTGTTCGTGACAGCCGGGCCAGGTGCAAGGCAGGCATTGCAGCCAGGACAAGGAGCTGCCAGTGTCGACAACCACTGGATAGTAACTGGTTGGAGTGCCAAGACCAATATTGACATAGTAAATGCCCACACCAATAGACATATCAGAGTTCACTGGTGTGCTGATGAAATTTGATCCAAAAAGGTGTTCTGTGACACTGCTTTTTCTATTGATCTCAGTGAGTCTGGAGTTGAGATACTTAACTCGTGCTTGATCCCGATATACTAACTCGGAGATGGATGGCGGAGACTGGGAGGTTAGAGGTGAGCCATGTCCAAGTACATGATACAAGGTGAAGTGCAAAGCTGAATTGTTACGTCCTTGCTCATCTTCTGCCCAAAAAAGAGAAATAGAAGTAATTTAATTAATTAATATCCCTTTTCAACTACGAATATTATGCACAACATATATATATATATATAATATGTATCTATCTGGTCATTCCCAATCAATACATCTTATATGTGAACAAAGAAAATGTCATATTATATGAAATCTTACATTTGATTACCTGCAAATGAAGATGTTGCAAGCAGAAAAAAAGAAATGAGGAACCAAACCAACCCCATTTCTGCTACACCTTTTGAAATACTATGTTGATTTTATGTATACATTCTCTCTCACACACACATATATATATAGACAAAGAATTGCAGAAGTTTTAGTAAAAAGTTTGGGACGACTTTGAGTCTTCACATAACTCCATGCGTTTCCCAATTAATCAGAGACAGATAATTTAATGGTGTAACCAATCTACCATGCCTAAATTAAGGGGTCCATTCCACTACGAGAAAGAGTTAATGGACTCGGGAGAGTTTCCAAAGAAGAAAGTAACAAGAAAATCAAAAGCAAACAAAATTTTAAATAAAAATTTCTTGTGTCCAACAGTAACATCATCTATAATTTATATAGATAATATTTACTTATTAATCAGTGAGTAGTTGGTCCATACTGACCGATGTTAATAATGAATGCATAAATAGTCTCTAATTGCATAATCAGAAGACTCTTTTTGGAATACTTTCAACCACTGTTCCTAGTTTTCTTATTTATTACCTGATTCTGTAATTGAGACTTTGTGCATTTGTTTATTAGGACCAATATAGATCACCTACTCACCCATAAATAGGTAAATACTATTCAATTTATAAACATAAACAAATTAATTCCTTCATCTCAAATGATAACAAACAATTTGTAATATCATTCTATATATATATGAAGATCTTCTTAAATTATTTTCTTCTCTTTATTAGTTTTTCTCCCTCTTAATTAATTCCCATTAAGCGATAAACTGCAAACCAAACATGAATTAAATATTAAATAATTTATTAAATTATGGAATGAATATATTTCTTCTAGAAAGAGTGTTTCGAGAGTTTAATTTGTTCTCTAAAAATAATTTATTATTATTATTATTATTATTATTTTAACAGAAGGAATATTTTTTAAGCGAATTCAAAGATCCAGTCTGAATATGATCTATCGACAAGTCTACTCCTAGTCGCTTCTTTGTACTCTCTTTGGAAAAGTTGTACTTTGCGTGCTCGTCTTTTTTCTTTGGAAAAATCTATATCGACGGGATTGCCGGAGAGAGACATAGAGAGAGAGAGAGAGAGAGAGAGGGGGCGGAGTCTTTTTCAAGACAGACTAACCCTGAGCTGTTGTACTCCAATAGTACACTTTTAATTGACCCAATTTAATTATTTACGTTGGAATAAGAGAATGATGCGAAATCATTTTTCATCATAAAATAAAATTAATTGCATAAAATTTTCCTTAACTATTAAAAATTTGCATACTCCCTGTAGTAAATTTTTAGTACTCAAAATAGCAAAAATTTTGCAAGACACACCCTTTCTCAAAATAATTAGTTAAATTTAATTTTAATTATGGGAAGGGAGTGGTTAGTCTGGGGACTTTGTGTAAGTTCTCTCTATTATTTTTTTCTTTATTTTATTTTTTTAAATAATTTAACTAATTATTTACATTTTACTATATTAAAAAACTCACACACTTATTTTTTGTCTATAAAAATATAAGGAGGTATCATTGGTGCTCTATATTTTTTTTGTTGGACATATTTCAAAAATTATTTAGATGTCTATTTTATGACACAAATATCATGGTGCCTAGTTGGAGTTTCATTAATATTTTGTCTCAAATGTCCTCTTTTCACTATCAGTTGTGACTCATCATGAGCCTAGAACTCGGAATCTTCCTTTTTAATAAACGAATTCAAGTAATAATTGTAAAATGACTAACAAATTAGCAAAATTTAAAACACAATTATATATCATTTAATATAAGCAACAATTTTTGAATAAATAAAACATAATAGTCAAAATCTAATATACATTCATGTCCATAAACAATTGAAAACTAATAAAATTGGAATAGTAATTAAGGGGATACATGAATTCAACTATAAAAATAAAAATATTCAAAAAAAAAGAAAAAGAAAAAATAATCACTAAACAAGTCGACATTAAAGAAAGAGAAACCCACTTATTATTATAAAATTCCTTGGAAAAGGGGTGGGTTATTTAGTTTCCTAGTTTGTTTTTGCTGGAGCCAAACAATTTGTGTTTCAATATCATTAAGTGCCACGAACATCTCCCTATTTTCTTTTTTGGTAAATAGTCTTGTTGTAAACACGAAAAATTCACTCCCTCAAGGAATTTTTGGAATTGCAGACACAATTTTTATTATTTCTTGAATGCTACATCACGATGGGTTAGTCGTGATCATATAGTAGAACTTTTATTCTCTACAATGTGAGATATACAATTTGTAATTGACGAATTTTGTTATCAAAATAAGTTCCATCGAGTTATAATTTCCAGTTCAAATTTCAAGTTTGAGATCAGAAGAGGAATTGAAGAGTTGTTTGTGATGACTTCGAAAAAAATAAGAATAACACTTTAGGAAGTTTAGTTTGAAAGTTAGGACACTTGCATGCATTGCATGATTTTGGAAACTTGAGCGATGCAAAAATTTTCGAAGTGTAAAAGTCTTTGTTTAAGTCTGACTAACTTGAACTGGTTCAAGAGCAGCTGAATCGATTCAAGTTTCAAAAGCTTGTTTTTAAAAAACTCACTTTCAAAACTTATTTTTAAAAAACTCACTGGCTAACTTGAATCGGTTCAAGACCACCTGAACCGGTTCAAGTCCTTCAGTAGTTTTTGGTACCTTTGTTTCCTACTCTATTTCAACTTCCTATTTTGCATACACTTTTACCTTAATGGTTATGCACGAAATTGACTTATTTTCCAACTACAATTATGCTTTCTAAAGTCTATAAAAATATATTTTTCTCACTTAGCTTGATATGACTTTTTGCATCAAAATTCTTATTTTCATTGAGAGCCTTTTTATGAGATAATTAAGAACATACACACTATATACACACATAAGTGAATTATGGTGTTGTTCAATTCATGATCGAGTTCAAGGTCATTAAAGATTGCATCTATATTGATGAGAAAGCATATCTTATTCCTTTTACAACAAATTCATATTTGAAGAAGAAGATTTTTCGATCACACTTTGAAAGAATCAAGACACTTGCAGAGTGTTGTTCATATGCCAGCAATCCTTCTATAAGGTTTGAGGCATAAATCTGAAGTCTAGAGTTGTTTGACGGGAAGTCACAAAACCAAGGGTATTCAGCGGATTAAGTCTTGGTAGAATGCAGGGGAGTGAACCTGAGTCAAAGTTTGGTGTACTTTGCTTCATACATAATGGTTCATTTTACGCTCAGGACAACGCAAAAATCCTCGAGATTTTCCAAATGGGTTCCTTGCTAAAATCCGGTGTTACTCTAACTCTACTAGTTTATTATTTTGTTGTGTGATTGTTAATTAACTGGTAATTTTGGTTGACTAAAATTGGATAAAGAAACACGTGATTAAATCCCTCAAAAATAGTTTTGAAATTTGACTTTCCATCTTCTATTTTCGCTGCACAACTCACACTTGATATCAGATCCAACCTCTACACACTGAGTTGATCCGAGTGGAAAGTTTTTCTTGTTTTCAAAAATTATTTCATCATGTCTTGTGTTTTGAAAGGTGGATCTAATCAACGTGATCCTTTATTCGAAGGTGACAATTACTCTTTTTAGAAATCAAAGATGAGAGCTTATTTGCAAAATTCAGGAGGTAAAATCTGGGCTATTGTTAAGACATCATATACACCTCCGACCGAGGATAAAGAACAGGATGGTAAGATTGTTAAGGTTTTGAAGGATACCTTCACTTACATTGCCATTGAGAATGAGTGTAATGATGATAATGGAAAAGTTTTGTATGCAATTTTTAATTCTGTTATTCTTTTTGAATATGCTAGAATTTTTATTATAAAACTGCTAAAGAAGCTTGGGAAATTTTGCAGGTCACTCATGAAGGAACTTCAAAAGTTAAGCGGTCCAAAATTCAAATGTTTACTCATAAGATTGGGAAAATTATGATGAAATAAGATTAAACTTTTTCTGATTTTTATTCTAATATCTTGAAATTATCTCTGAACTTTGTCACTTAGGCAAAAGAGTTAGTGATAAAAAAAATTGTGAGAAAACCTTGAGATCTTTACCTAAAAGATTTCATATTAGGGTAGAAACTATCAGTGAACATTGTGATTTGTCTAAAGCTAAGGTAGATGAGGTTGTGGGTTCCTTAAAAATTTTGAGATGCAAAATTTTGTTCAAGATAAGAAAGAAAAGAACTTGGCCTTAAAATCTACTCAGATTGAAAATCCTCTTGATGATAATTTTGATGAAGAAATTGCGCTTATAACTAGTCAATTCCAATAATTTCTTCAAAAGCAAAAGAATAGGAATGGCAATGGGGCCAATTCTCATAACTTTAACTAAAGTCTTTTATTTTAGGATGAATGAGAAGAGAGAAATAGAAAAGAAATGAGATGAATAAAATGAAACTGAGCTTACTTGTTGGAATTATGGTGGCAAGGATCACACCTCAACTATTTGTCCTAGTCCTAAGAAAGAATCAAAGGATAGGAATGAAAGAAAAGTTATGAAAACTTTAGTTTCTGATAATGTTTCTCCTAGTATTAATGAATCTTCTCATGATGGTCGCAATGATTGTTTTTTATTGATTTTCTTGATAAATGTCCTCGTGTTGTACCTGATTCACATATCGTTGACGATAAAACTGAAGAGTCCTATGGAAAACAGATTCAAAAGGATGAAATTGATGAAGAGCATCTTCGAAAGATGTTTGATTAAACTGTGGAAGTAAAATTGGCTATCAAGAAATTGACAAAAGAACTTCAACAAGCTGAAGAGGAGAAAGATGAACTGAAAAAATAAGTTGAAGAAAGTAAATTACCAGTTGTCGAAAGTAAATCAATCATCTTTGATCTCGAAGGAAAAGTCAAATTTCTTGAAGGCGAAGTAAGTATAGCTAACTCTGTAAAAGATTATCTTGTTTTTAGATTGAATTTCTTGATGTTGAATTGAAAAAATCACAAAAGAAATTGATAGCTTTCACATCTGGACAAGTCAAGCTGATTAAGATGATTAATATTGGTAAGAATGTGAATGACATTGCTTAGGATTTGCTAAGGGCTC